GACTTCAGGCCAGTGGGGTTCAAAGGAAGAGGCCCAGGTGCAGAGCCAGGCATGGGTGGACATTCCCCAGGTGCTGACCTCCCTGGCCAACCAGTCCATGGACCTGAGTGCCCTCATGCTGCCCGATTAGTGACAATGCCCTCTTCTTCCCAGTCTGCCAAGTTTGTGGGCAGGCCTGGGTTCAAAAAGCTTCTCTCTGCTCTGGCCCCTCCCAGGCCTGCCTGCCAGTGGAACATGCCTATCTTGCCCATTTCTTTACTGTCCTCAGCAGGAGGTTTATAGAGCCACCAGGGGGATCACATCTGTCTACCAGGCCTGTGTCATAGACATAGGTCTTGGGAAAGTCAGGGGTCATGTGCACCTGTTGGGACAGCTGCTATTGCTCCCCTCAGTTCCCCTGCATATGGGCCATGGCCTGGTAGGTGGCTGTCCCCCCACCTTGGAGAATGTGGAGTGGAGGAGGAAGCTCAAGCAAGGGATCTGCTTCCTGCCCTCCCGTTGGGCTCAATTGGAAACTGGTACCCACCTGTGCCTGCCTTGCCCTCTCCCAGGTGCAGCAGGGGGCTGAGCCCCTTCCCTGACCTGTAGGTGTTGATTTGAGGCTTCCTACAGAGTCTAGTGTTGGGAACATCGTGGTGCTTTCCAGGCTTCCTGCCCCTAGGGAATGTCTGGCTCCCCAAGGCCTGGGCCTCTTCAAACATGGGGCTGACCCCTGGGTGCTGGAGGGGGAGGGGGAGGGAGAGTTCTGCCTTCCAGATTCAGATCCAAGGACACCCCTGCCATGGCTGTAGCTGTGGAGTCAGGTGGGGTGTGAGGCCCAGAAGGTGGGCAGAAAGATCACGTTAGGGTTGACAGTTCCTGGTGGCAATTTCCTCTGGAGTAGGCAAGCTTCTCAAAGGGACAGGGTCACACTTGACCTCCTACCACTGGGGAGGCACCCACCTCCCAAGGGCTTGCTAAGCTCTCCGTGCACAGAGGCAGTCTTGGAGGCAACATTACAGCAGGGCTGAAGCCCGGGCCGGCACTGAGACATGCATTTCTGTGTGTCTTTTTATTTAGCTGGAGAATGGGGCTGCTCCATCCCAGGGTTGTTATACAGATCTAAGTAAGGCTGATTCTGGGCAATGGATAGGGGTCCTGAGCACCCCATTTGGCTCCCAGGATACTCACTTGCCTGTGTGGGGGAGCTGGGATCCCCTTCCCCTGAGCCAGATCCACCCCTATGCTGCATACTCTGACAGTGGTTGTCCAACTGGCCACCTCTCCAAGTGGACCCCCCTCCTTGTGTCTTACAGGCACCACTGCACCACATCAGAGAGGCCGTCCTAGCCCCATGGGCTCCCTTCTCACCCTGGGTGTGTGCCACCTCCTACAGCCACTGTGGTCACCGGTGTGTATGAACTCTAGCTTCATGCAAAGCCTGGTGTGAAGCTGGGCAGGCTGGTTTGCAGAGGGTCAGGAACCCACAGCCTGGCGAGGGGCAGGGTCTGGCTTCCTGAGTTCAGCCAGCCTCAGCCCCAGGGCCCCTTTCACTGTCACCCTCTACTGTCACCCCACTCTGTTCCCTCTCACAACACCAGCCTGGGTTTCTGTGGTGACGGGGGTGGCTTTAGAGAACATAACCCTCCCTCCTAGGACAAAGAGCCTGAATGGGTATGTCCTAGGCATCATGACAGCCTGGGCCTTGAGTCAGGAGTTGTGGCACCTGGAGAGGCTACCCTGGGTTATATGTGTGTCTCAGGCTGGTCTTTGGGGTGGTGGGGTGGGACTCTTTAGGGCTTTGAGAAGCTTGCCTACTCCAGAGGGAATTGCCACCAGGAGCTGTCAACTCTTATGTGATCTTGCTGCCCACCTTCTTTGGTACCTTGGTACAGTCCATTTCTGACCAGGTAAGACCATGGTCTGGGCCCCTCACAGGATCTGCTAACTTTCATGCAGGGATGGAAGCCTTTGGGTGGGGCTACACCTGACTCCCCTATCCTTTCAGGATCCAAAGGCCATCCCTGGTATCACCACAGCCAAATCCCTCTTTGTGTCTTGGTGAGCCCAGGAGTTGCTAGAACATTCTAGGTTAAAACTTCTGCCTATCCTGATGTTCCACCAGGGGACCACCAAACCTGCTTTCCCCTCCACATCCTTAGTCCCTGGCCAGCAAGAGGCTGCTGAGGTCAGTCCTGGTCCAAGACTTCCCTAGCCTGGGCGGCCTGCTCGGAGTCTGGTTTGCCACTGAGACTCCTCGTCCTCTCTGGCAGATCTACCTCTCAATGCCTCTGATTCTTTGTGGCAGGTGGGCCTCACGTTAGCCCCATTGCCCAAGCCCTCTAGCCTGAGGCTACCTAGCTCTGAGAGTCAGTCTTCTGCCCCCACTTCCTCTTCCTGCAAGCCCTCCTCCCTCCCCACAATAAGGATGCTGCAAACTCATGTCTAAAACTAAAAGCAATTTTTTTTTTTTTTTTAGTCCTGGAGATTGAACACAGGGCTTCACATATTCTAGGCAAGTTCTCTACCACTGAGCTACATCCTCATCCCCCCAACTCCAACCTTTTTTTTTTGGGTACCAGAGATTGAACCCAGGGTGCTTAACCACTGAGCCACATCCCCAGCCCTATTTTACATTTTATTTAGAAACAGGGTCTCACAGAATTGCTTAGGGCCTCACTAAGTGCTGAGGCTGGCTTTGAACTTGCAATCCTCCTGCTTCAGCCTCTAGACTCCTTAGGATTAAAGGCAATTTTTTATACCAAACAGAAGTCTGTTTCCTAACTTTTCTATACCCCAAAAACATGAGTCAAGCTTCTTGCAGATATGAATACCTCCAGCCCTGTCCACTTTCCTGTGTTTTTTTTTTTTCTCAGTACCAGGGATTGAACCCAGGGGCATTTAAACACTGAGCCACATCCCCAGCCCCATTTTGTATTTTATTTAGAGACAGAAAGGTCCTAAGCAACTCAGTGAGACCCTAGGTTGCTGAGACTGGCTTTGAACTCACTATCTTCCTGCTTCACCCTCCCAAGCTGCTGGGATTACAAGTGTGTTGCACTCACCTGGCTGAGATGCTGACCCACCTCCTGTGAATGAAGGTGACCTGCAAAGTGCTATGAGAGGCACGCAGGGCTGCTGTTCCCACCATGTTTCATTCCCTGAGATGCTGGGAAATCCTCAGGGCCTGGCCCTCATGGCCCCCCTCTCCAGGGACACTGGGGACATGTACACACAGGACTGGATCCTTGCCCCTTCTTCCGGACATCCCTGTTTACACCGTTTGTGTGAGTACCTGCTCCCAGTCCTCCTGTGAGCCCGGTTCCTATCCTGGTAGAGTGAGAGGTGGCTGCGGGCCTGGCAGATAGACACCATCACTGAGCCTACATCCTTGTGCTTTCCTGGTCTAGCTGTGTGTGCTCCAGAGAGGCTTGTGCCCTTGACTTCCAAGTCTGTAGTTAGCAGGACGCCTGCTGCTTGGAGAGGTGGGAGGTACCTGGCCCCACAAGAGCACAGAATCAAAAGCAAATGTTTCCCAGACTTTATGCATCATGGGATGAGGCAAGGGGGTGCCTGGGGTTAAAGCTCAGCTGGCCTCCCAGCAAGGTGACAGGGGATTGCTTTCCCATCCCCACCTCTGCCCAGGCCCTGAGAGTCCAGTCTTTGGGAGTCCCAGGAGGGAAGACGCCCTCTTGTGGTGTGACCCTGGGCTTTCCTCTCTGGGTTTCTGGGAGATGCTGGAGCCCTGGCTGCTCTCCACAGGGCTGAGGCATTGTCTGTGGAGCCTGGGTAAGATGAAGCAGGGAGAGGCCTGGAGTTTGGTTTTCAGTGAGGGGAGGATGTCATGAGGGGTCACCTGGTGAGAAGAGAGGGAAAAGCCTGGAGTCAGGAACTGGAGGCTCCCAGAACAGGGCAGCAGTCCTGTAAGATATGGAAAATGACAAATCCCAGACTCATGTGGCCTGGGAAGAGAGAGTGAGGGAGAAGGCAACACGCTGATAACACTGATCCTCTCCCAGTGACAGGACATCCAGCCAGCCTAGAATGGCAGTCCCTGGAGGAAGCCAAAGTATGGATCCTTCCCCAAATAAATCCTTTCCCAGTGACAGGAAAATGGGACCCTGGAGGGAAAGAGATAAGCACTGAATGCTGACCCCAGACCCTCCATCTTCTCCAAGTAAAAATATTGCCCAGTAAAAACAAATGTCACATTCTCACAATCTGTTTCCTGAGTGCCCAAACTGACACACTCTGTCAATAATTAAGTTACCTCTCAGCATAACATATATAAGCACAGAGTCCTCCTCTGGCCCGTGGCTCATTTCTCATCAGGAAAGTGCATCCACCAGATGCCTGACACCATTGCTGAATAAAGGCTTTGCTGATCCGTGAAGTCTGCACCCAGCTTGGTCATTTTGTGCTAACAAGCCCTCCATGTCCTGGCCCTGCGTAGAGGGGAAGGATGGGCAGGAGAGCAAGGGAAGCTGAGTTGGGGCCTTTTACAGGGACTTGTGGTGCCACCGATGGGGTCCTCGGGTGGAGGGAAGCAAGACCCTCTCCTCACATCTCCATTTCTCTATTGTTTCTCCTGGCCTCCTGTAGCCCTAAGTTCTGTTCCTGGCATCTAGGAATGAACTGGAGGTAAGTGGTTTTTTGGAGGAGTCTGCTGGACCACCCCTGGGCCTCTGCCTGGATAGGGCAGGGGCATGGCTGGTGTATTGACCTCCCCACCTAGGCACTGCAGCAACGGTGCCTGGGGACTGCTCATGGGAGCCAGGCTTCGGGACAGTCCCATCCCCAGTGTAAGCACCTCAGGGCTTTCAGGGAGCTGTGCTCCCCCTGCCTGGCTGAGAGGGCCTCTGTGCCTTGCAGTTTAGCTACTATTAGTGCATGCTTTGGTCCCCCAGGCTGGACACTGTGAACTGGGCCTTCTACTTCAACACCTGGGGCTGTAAAGAAGGGTGGGGTCAAGGGGTCAAGCCCAGGCCCCTGGCTGAAAACCCAGCTCTATCTGGCACATGAGGGGACCCTAGGTTCAGTTAGAAAGTGAGCTCTGAGCCCAAAGGCTCAGTCTGCCCTCCAGGAAGGAGCCCCTGCCCAGCCAGATACTTGCCAGGAAAAGGATGAGTGTGACAAGCAGGAGGTTCAGGATGAGGAGCGCGGAGCTGGGGGTGCCAGGCTGACAGGAGGCTCCGGAGCTGCGGGTGCCTGCAGCAGAGAGCAGGAAAGCAGGGGCTGGGCGGGTCCCCATCCTCCCTGCCCTGGGAAGGCGAGGTCCAGCCCACAGAGAATTTCAGGTCAGGTGCCTGGCCCAGAAGATGCTGCAGGAACAGAAGGGCTGAAGCAGGGAGCACCTTGGGGGACTCCTGGGAGCAGGAAGGGCTGGGCCTGAGCCTGGGGGCTGAGACCTAGAAGAAGAAAAGGAAGGCTGGGGCAGCAAGCCAGAGAGCCCACGGGAGGAGGCAGATGGATGGAGGACATGGGCAGAGGGAAGAGGCCTGCAGGAAGTAGGGAGGCACTGACCGAGGGCTAGGGTGACCATCTCTACCCGGAGGCCCTCATCTTTCTGCAGGATGTACAGGGCCTGATGCACGCTGTCCTGAATGAGGGTCTGGGCTGGTGTGGCCCCAAAGAAGATGGCACCTACTTTGGCAGTCAGTGGTTCTGGCCTAGAAGAAGGATCCACAGTCTTCAGGCCACTGAGAAACCTGGGATGACTCGGGGAGGGCCTCTCTTCCAGCCTCCTGCTCCCACCCGGAGCCCAGGCACTCACTGGAACTCCTCCACCACCACTTGGCCAAAGTTCTGCAGAGACCTGAGCCCCCTGGTCAGCTGAGGGTCAGGAGAGGAGGAAGAGGGTCACAGCTCTGCTGAAGCCTGGTCCAGCGCCCACCCCCGCCTCCCTCTTCCTGCTTCCTTCCATCCCACCACTTCACCCATCTCGTTAGCTGCTGCCGAAGCTTCTGGGCCTCAGGGCTGGTTTTGTCCTTCAAGGCCTTGGTGAAGGGTTGGCCTAGGATCTGCAGCCACATCTCATACAGCACCAGCTCTGCCTTCTCCCCTAGAGTAAAAGGTGGAGTGTGGGTGACATCTATCAGGGGCCTCGTCTCCTAGGCATCCTGGGACAGGACCCACATTCTGGCTCAGGCCACATGCCCAAATCCTACTGCAAACTTCAGTTCAAGAGCCAAAGCTCCCTGCTTTTGTGCGGCCCATGAGCTAAGGGTGCCCCCCCCCTCCAGTACTGGGGACTGAACCCAACATTGCTTAACCATTGAGCTACTCTCCCCCGCCTTTTTTATTTTGAGACAGGATCTGACCAAGTTGCTTAGCTCCTTCTAAGTTGCTGAGGCTGGTCTCAAAATTCCAATCCTCCTGCCTCAGACTTCCAAATTGTTGGGATCACAGGTGTGTGCCCTCTCACCAGGACAGCTTTTGCATTCTTAAGTGGTGGGAAAAGTAGAGCATCTTATGACATAAAAATTATGTGACATACACACATTTCTATATCCATAAATAAGGTTTCACAGGAGCATGACCAAGCTCACTGTTGTCTACGGCTGTATCCTCACCACAGGGGTGGACAGTGTGACCCCTCTAGCTCATGGAATGGCCAATGAGAGGCGCTAGAAGCAGAGTAGGAGACTGGTTTTCTTTCACCTGTCCCCGCTCAGGGGGAGAAGTGCAAAGAGTTTTTGCGCTTCCCAGGTGGGGCAGTGGAGGGGCTGGTAGACCAACAGCACAGCCTTCTCCACAAGGGCAGGGGGTGCTCTGCTGTCTGATAATGGGGTGTGACGGGTCCTGCCGGTTGGGAAGACTGGCAAAGGAAGGCTGCCCATATGCTGGGGGATGGCTCCCTGGGGAGTGGTTCTGGCCCCTGGAGAGCTGAGTCCCAAGCCAACCTGTCTGCACTCTGGGCCCGCTGGCACCTGATAACTTCTCTGGAGGGACTCAAGGGCAGGACTGGAAGGAGAAGCACTGATCTCCCCCAAGAGGCCACAAGAGGCTCCAGCACTTTCTGGGCTGAGGAACCTCACAAGAGCAGTTCCAGTCTGTGTGGCTGGAGTGCATGGAGTGGACCCAGAGCGCTCTCAGTGTGAGTGATGAATGGCCATCTCTTTATATGGCACAAGCCTGCCTAAATGTCCCTATAGGAGGGGCTCAAGGGGACATAAGCTTTCTTGCTGATGGGCTGAGCTGAGCAGTTGTCTCCTAACTTGCGACAGATCTCGTTAGTTTTTGGTGGTGCTGGGATGGTACCCAGGTCCTCATGCATGCTTGGCAAATGCTCTCTCATTGAGCTACATCCACACCCCCAGATCCCGTCACTTAGGATCCATTGAGATCCTGGACAACGAAGGAATTGCTCATCTTGTCTCACTCACCCAAGTTTCTCGCCTCTATCCAGTTCCCCCACCCAACGCTCCATGTCTGCTTTCTCCCTTGGCCCTGGCACTTGAACTTTGCTGTTGAAAGGAAGTTCTGCCCACCTGCAGAAAGGGAATGAGGAGGCCTAAAGAGGTAGGACACTGCTGACCAGAGACAACAGGGACCCTGCTCTGACTCACCATTGGCCACAATGCTGGATTTCTGGAGGATGGGATCCATGATGCTGTGAGCCAGGTGATTGGCCAGGCCTCTAAGGTGGGTGGGGATAGAGTTCTGGAACTTGTACTCCATGGACACTCTCACCCATTGGTCTGCGTTACTAGGGAGGAACAGTGGACAGTGCCAGGGTCACGGGCTCTGTGCTAGCATGGGCGTCTAGAAGCAGGCATTGAGCACCCATGTGCACACCCTCAGGCGGGGGCTTCCTACCTCCAAGGGCAGAGCTCCGTGAGGCTAGAGGGAGCTACCAGGACAGAGTCCTCCCCTGGGTGGCCCCCAACTCAATGCTTCCATGTCCTAGCTCTGGGTCAGGGATGGAGCTGCCCCTGCTACTCCAGAGAGGAGGCCCCAAGAGAGGGGCAGAGCAGGCTGGGTGGGCAGGAACAGGACCTGACCCACCTGAAAAGGAGCAGGGGGCCTTCCTGGGGATGCTCCTTGTAGAATCTCGACACCACAGGGGTGACCTGCAGGGAGTCCTGGAGGTCAGTGTCCGGATGATCTCCAGAGCTGGCCAGGAGCTGTCTCTCCTGAGACCCAGGCGGGGTGGGGCAGGATCTGAGAGCCTCCTTGCACAAGGCCTCCTGGGCTGGGGTATCTGGTCACAGAGCCTGGTCACATGTTCCCCTGAAGAGCTGTGTCCTCCTCACAACCCCACCCAACCCTGCCCACCCCCCACAGGGCCACGCTGGGTGCTGCCTCTGTTTTCGCAGCACCTGTTTTCAAGGAAGGCAGGGTAAGCGCGCCAGCCCCCAGACACGGGGAGAGCCACCTCACCAGGTGGAGGATCTGGTCTTCCAGCAGGACAAAGGGAGCAGAACCAGGCAGGACGAGCTCGGGCAGGAAGGGCTTCATGGCCGTGAAACTGATGCAGATGGTCTCCAGAGCTAAGTCGGTGAGGGGGGACCCTGCAAGCCACAGGGGGAGCTGGGGAGGCCCCGGGAGCCTCCTCTCCCACCACCTCCTGGCACTCCCTGTGGGCCTGGCACAGAGGCCTGGGGACAGGCAGGACGGACTCACCGGAAGCAGCAAGGCTGCTCTCATCCAGGAACAGGTGCCCCAGCATGCCCCTAGAGGCCTTCACTTGGCGGTACAAAATCCAGAGGACTTCCCGGGCAGAGGGGCCCAGAGCCCTGCCCCCGAACACAAGGGAGGCCTTTACAGATCCAGAGCCAGGCCTGTGGACAGAGCCATGTCTTCACTGGGGCCCCAGGAGGTGACGGGGACCAGTGTCCCGAGGGAGGGATGTCTATAGGGGAAGCCATTGATTGTACAGAGAAGTCTTCTTGTATGACTTGAAGCAGGTCCTGTCACCCCTCTGGGCCTCAGTGTCCTCCTTAGTCAAATGGGGATGATGAGCCCTTTTCTGGATGACTCTGGTGAAGCCTGAATGACCCCATCAGGAGAGCACAAAGCAGGTGCTCAGTGAAAGCAAGTTCACCTGGACACCACAGCAAGGTGGCTTTCATGAGAGCACTGTGAATCCTGCCCAGGCAAAGCCGGGGCCAGGGTTACCCGGCCAGGCTGCAGCTGGCTTTGAGCTCTCAGGATGCTAGTCTGAATGACACTGAGAAAACTATCTTTGGCTTCATCATAAGGAGCAGGAGTTCTGGAGACAGGGAGGTCTGAGGTTTTTTGTTTTTGTTTTGGAGGCTGGTATTGAACCCAGGGTCACGTGATCATAAAGCTCTATCCTCTAGCCCTTTATTAAATTTTGAATCAGGGTCTCACTAAGTTTCCCAGGCCAACCTCAAACTTGCAATCCTCCTGCCTCAGCCTCAGGAGTCACTGGGATTACAGGCATGTGCCCCCTTTCCCAGCACGTCTGGGGAATTTCTGAAAGCCTGTGGGATAAACCAGCTGGTCATGTTCTATGGAGACAGCTGGTCTCAGCAGGGGTCTGAAGAAGCTGTTAGAGAAAGGCCTGGAAACAAGTAGGCTCAAGATCCAGAATGACTTTTTTCCTTCCCTTGACTACCTGAGCCATCTCAAGGGTGGGGAGATAAAAGTTCTGCTCAGGCCCAGGGCAGGGGAGTCAAAGGGGACTCCAGTTCATTAAGTGGGTAAGCTTTCTAACCAGCTAGGACGTTGGCCTGGCTAGATAGTGAGCTCCCCATCACTGAGAGTATTCGAGCTTCTAGATTCCTTTGTGTAGGGGATTCTAGGTGCCCCTGAGCTCACTAAAGTGGGGCTGTGGCGACTTGGACATCCTCAGCCTCGCTCATGAAATCATGACTGGTTCACAGCTGAATCGGCCGCGATCGCCCCAGCATCCTCTTTCCCTGGATGCTCAGAATCAGAAAGCACCTAGGGGAGTGGCATCTCTTCGCACACTCTGTCCTGGGAATAAGGGACTTGTTCTTGCTGCCCTGCCTTCCCACTGTGCCCAGACAATATCCAGCATTCCTGTCCAAACCCTGCAGCTGGAATCAGGCTCACAGTGGACAGGTGGCCATCTGAGGTCACACAGCACAACCAGGGGCAGAACCACAGTGGGGTCTCTTCCTGGCCCCTGTGGCTCCTGGACACAATGGGCGATGGGGGACTGAGTAGCCTGGAAGAGTGCCCTGTGGCTGGAAGGCATAGATCAGCTGGGTGGGGGGCTGAGAGCCAAATGCACTCACCTGAACTCCAGGATACAGGCGTCCTGGAAGCTGGGGAAGGCCCTGTGGTAGATGAACTGCAGCTGTGGACAGACAGAGCCGTGGAGGCTGGCAAGCCTCCCCTCCACCACCATCATCCCTGACCTGGCCTCTGCAGGGGCCTCCTCACTGACCCCCTGCCCTGCTGGGCCCTGCCCGAGCTGTTCCCTACGCTTGGCCAGAGACCTGCCCATCACCTCTAAAACCTGTCCAGGGAGCTGCAAATGCCTCCCTGGGCTCTTCCCTCTCTGCTATTGGTTTTCTTGAAAAATCCCTCTCCAATCCAATCATCCTGGGCTCTGCACTCCAAAGCTGCCACCTAGGCCTCTCTGGCCTGTATTACAGTCCCTTCTCCTGTTCTCTCTCCCACTCCTGCCCCAAGTCACTCTCCATGGAGCCCTCGTGCCATCTCTGACACCTGTCCATCTGGAGGTCCTCACATATACTGTTCCCTCTGCCTACAAGGCCCCTCCCTGTTTAATCTGACTACCTTATCTCTACCCCACTTAAAAATTTCCTCTCTGAAGCCAGGTCTACAGGTTTACACACCTGTAATCCCAGTGCTCAGGAGGCTGAGGCCGGGGGATCACAAGTTCAAAGCCAGCCTCAACAACTTAGCGATGCCCTATGCAACTCAGTGAGGCCCTAAGCAACTCAACAAGACTGTATCTAAATAAAAATTATTTAAAAAGGGAGAGGGATGTGACTCAAGGGTTAAGACTGCTGGGTTCAATCCCTGGCATAGCCCCTACTCTCAAAAATTTTCCCCCTCTCAGAAAGTTTTCTCTGGGCAACCCTCTGACCCTGGCCATGGGCTTAGCCTGTCTGTTCTTCACGTAGCTTATCGTGATTGTAAGCACATTCACATTTGTTTAAGCATTCCTTCTGTCTCTTTCCCCCTGCAGACTGGAGGCTCCCTGAGGGTAGGACCACGGTGCACTCAGTATAGTAAGCACTCAAGGAGTTATATGAAGAGATGAATTAGTTGAATGGAGGCATGAACCAGTGAACTAGTGGACACTCAGAATTCCTCCTGGATGACAGGCAAGAACTGGCACTCTCTACCAAGGCACCTTCACGCCTGTGGTTCCAGAATCATGGCAGGTGGATTTGGTTTGGGGTCCAGAAACTGTGCCTTCTTTGCCAGGGCATGAGGGCCCCACAGGTCTCTGATGAGGCTTTGGGCCAAGAAAAAAGTCAGCCAGACCTGCATTTCTAGCTCAGTGGTAGAGTACTTGCCTAGCATGTGTGAGGCATTGGGTTCTATCCTTAGCACCACATACAAATAAATAAATAAATAAAATAAAAGTATGAAATAAATACAATAACATTATATATTTAAAATTTTAAAAAGTCAGCCAGCAGGGTGCGGTAGTGCACGCTTGTAATCCCAGCGGCTGGGAGGCTGAGACAGGAGGATCGTGAGTTCAAAGCCAGCCTCAGAAAAGCAAGGCGCTAAGCAACTCAGTGAGACCCTGTCTCTAAATAAAATTTAAAATAAGGCTGAGGATGCAGCTCAGTGGGTGAGTGCCCCTCAGTTAATCCCCATAACCCGCCCCCCCCCTCCAAAAAAAAAAAAAAAAGCCTCCTCTGATTTCCCATGGCAGGGTCTCTGCAATGGGGATGTTTTCTCCCTGCATCTACTCCCCAGAGGTATTTCTGCCTGGGCTCCCCCTTCCTGCCCACCGCTTACTCCACATGTCTCTCCTGCACCCCAAGAAGCACAGGGGTGATTCTCATTGATTTACGGGGCATTCCCAGCTCAGCTCTGCGCCCAGCTGCCCCCAGGGAGCTTGTGCTCTGGACACAGCTCCGCGTCCCTCCGCGTCCCTCCGCGCCCCTCCGCGCCCCTCCGCGCCCCTCCGCGTCCCTCCGCGCCCCTCCGCGCCCCTCTGTGCCCTTCCGCGCCCCTCCGCGCCGCACCCAGCAGTGGCCTCACCTCATGGTGGACGTGCTCATTCAGCAGCCGGTGCTCCAGGGCCACAGGGTTCCACTGTGAAGCCGAGAAGGCTTCATTGGAGATCTTGAAGGTCACGTAGTGGGTTATGTAACTGGGTTCTGGGGCGGAGGATGTTGAGTCCTGCAAAGAGACGGCCTGGCCAGGGTGAGGCAAGGCGTAAGGCTGGGTGGGGTCAGCACCTGCAGGGACCCTGGGGGAGCCAGTGCTAGGGGCAGCGGAGGGAAGACTGGAGGAAGATGGGAGGGAGAGGGTGGTCGTGGGGGCTGGGCTGGCAGAAACTCTCCACCCAGGCCGAACTGTCCCTTGAGGCGTGGCTGGCTGTGGAACTGTCGCGGGTAGCAGGGCAGGTGTGAGGGGAGAATCTGGGGTCGAAGACACTGGCGCAGACTCCAAGCGCGGAGGAGGACTTCTGGCTCTGGTGGTGAGGGAGGAAACTGGGCCAGGACTGGGGATGGTGGTGGTGGTGGTGACAGGGAAGGTGACAGTGACAAAGATATGGCTGATGGGGAGGGAGACAGGGGCAGTGCTGCTGAGGGCTGTGGGGAGAAGAATGGCAATACTGAGGGCAATGGCCCCAGGGGACCACTGGGCCCCAGGCCAGAAGCCACAGCAGCTTGGGGTAGTCTTGAGCCTGCTACAAGGGCAGGGGAGGTCATGTCCAGCCCTGACAACTCTGGAACTGCAGGGGCAAGGGACTCTGTGTCTGGCTGTGTGTTAGCCATTGACACAGCAGACTCAAGTCGGCCTGGGGACACCAAGGACACCAAGGACACTGCCTTCCCTGGGCCCCTTGGTGCCAATGTCAGAGATGGGAAGGCTTCTGGCCTGAAGAAACCTGCTGTTGAGACAGATGGCATCTGGACACTGGGAATGGGGGTATGCCTGACGGAGAGCCAGGCTGGTGGTCGTTGGGGTGTAGGAGTGGTGGGGACCAGGGGTGCTGTAGCTGACACCTGAGTTGGTCTAGGGGTGGCAGATGCCCCCAGGGTTGCAGAGGCAGGAGCCTGGACTGTCACAGACGATCCAGGGATCTTGAAGTTCTTCCCAGTCCCACGGACAGGAGAAGCCCACGACTGTAACATGGCAGTAATCTTCCGAGTTCCAGGGGCCAACATCGTGTCTGCAGGTTCAGTCACTAAGGCTTCTGACTGGGACTCAGTCAGTAATGATGATGCTGGGCCAGGTGTGGCCTTGCCCGAGACCTCAGTTTTTCCCATAGGGGTCAGCTGGTGTGAGGAGGAATCCAAGGACAAGTTTCCAGGAGCCTTGTGGCCCCCAGCTGCCCCCTGAGAGAGGGCTTCTGCCCTTTTCCCAGGTGCTTCCAATTCCCCACCAAGGAGGGAAATGATGTTATCAGAGGTCTTTGTCAGGACGCCTAGTGCCAGAAGTGCCCTCTTGCTGACTTGCAGATGAGATGCACCAGGGGCCAAGGGTGACTGGCCAGAGTCTTTGTGAGCAGAAGGAAGGGGCAGGACAGAAGCCGAGACCACCATGAAAGCTGCAAAACAGGAGAGACCCTGTTGGGACACTGTAGGGGCAGGGCTGGCCCACAGCCCCTGGGATCTCCCCTTCCCTCAGGAGCCTGGGAGATCCAAACCCTGGCTAACCTTTGCCCCCAAACCACTAAGCTACCCCAGGCAAATAACCTCCCACCAGATGTCCGATGCTAGCCCACCAGACAGCCAGCCCTGCTGCCCCCCAGGAAGGATTCTAGAGGTTAAGGGACTCACCCTAAGGGTCCCTCTCTCTGCGTCCCATCCCAACTTCACCCCATAGCAGGGCCCCTCCCTAAGGGAAGGTCCCTGGGCCCCAAGTGCTCCCCAGGAGCTGAGGCCGGGGGCTCTGGGCTGCTCTGTTTAAATGACTCCTGGGGCCCATCCCAAGGGTGCTGGAAGTGCTGCCCATTTCATCATGGCCAAGGCTCAGGCCTGACCACATTCCCAGCACTCAGAATGGTTCTTGGGGACTGGACATGAGGGGTGCATATGTGGGGTCACCTCTGAACTCTGGGGATTAATCCCTCACCTATCTACAAGTGTGCACTGAACCCCATGCTGGCCTACCCTGCACCAGGTTCCTTCAGGTGGTGACCCTAGTGCTCTCAGGAAGCCCCAAGCCTGGGAACTAGGGACTTGGGCTCTGGCCCTTCCCTGGCATCCTCTGGGCTGGCCAAGGTAGACTCATACAAGAACAAGGAAGGTCAGCCCTGATGTGGGAGCCAGGGGGGGCTCACCCCTGCCACCCCCCCAAGTGAGTGGGTAGGGACAAGGGCCTTACAGTCTAGCCTGCCTTGTCCCTACCCCCTTACCAGCCAGGAGAGTCGCAGCAGCTGGAAGACACTGCTCGCCCATGCTGAAGGCGCCTGCAGGCTCCCAAGGCTCCAGAGTCTGGCACAGACACAAAAATGTCCTCAGGTCTTGTGCTGTTGGGCCGCAGACTCTTGAAAGGGGACACTGTTGTCTGCCCCACCGCCTGAGGATGTATGGGCCAGAAAACACATTGAGGAAGAGTCTCAAGTCTGTTAGCCTCAGATGAGGTTGGTGATGGTGAGGGTGGGAATGTGGTGTGGGATGTGGCTGCCGTAACAGCAGAGTCACAGGAGGGTTGTGAGGATAGCGAGGTTATGATTCAGATGGTCGTGTGGAGAGCTCTGGGTGCAGGAGGACGGAGCATATGGATGATAGGTTGATATTTACGGCCACACCCCGTCCCCAACCCAGCTCCTGTCCCAGTTTGGTCCCTGCTCCCACTTCATCAGACTGAGTGGTGAGTCTAAAGAACCATTAAAAGAATTGTCCCCCTGCAATGGTCCCACACAGAATCCTGGTCACAGGCCTGCACTGGATGTGGGGTGTGTGGAGGATTTGGGGCTTTGGGTAGAGGGTCCTTCCCAGACCCTCTTGTCTTTTCTGCAGCTAACAGCAGTTCCCAATCATTCCTGCTTTCATTTCACCCCCCTGCCCCTCCCCTGCCCTGCTCCAGTCACAGGAGGGGGCTGGAGAAGCTTCATACTGCACACCCCTTGCTAGGGGCCAGTAGAAACAAGCTATCTATCTATCTATCTATCTATCTATCTATCTCCCCTCTTTCTTTCTTTCTTTCTTTCTTCCTTAAACGTACTAGGGATTGAATCTGTGGACACTCTACCCAGCTCTTTTTTTTATTTTGAGACAAGGTCTCACTAAATTGAGGCTGGCCTTGCGCTTGTGATCCTCCTGCTTCAACCTCCTGAGTCACAGGAGTTACACGCATGAGTCCTTGGGAAGTTTTGGATGCCTCTCCCACCAAGGAGACTAGCTTCTGTGTCGCCCTACCAAGAGGGACAGTACCTACTCTGGAGCATCAGAGCCTCCTCTTCTGGGGAGTTAATTGCTAGAACCCAGAGGTAGGGAATTCTGCAGTAGGATTCAGACCCACAGAGCACCCCAGCTGATCTCCTGTCCCTCTTCTACCTCTGAACCCTATCCAGTTTCTTCTGCTTGAACATACCCCTTCCCCAGTCTGCTCCCCTTCCCAGTTGGGGATATTTTCTAAGGAGGGGGGATGGAGAAACACCCTCCATAGCCCCTCCCCGACCCCAGTGATCCCAGGATCATCCAATCCCCCTGACCAGCATACCTCCCACTGCTTAACTGCCCATCTCCTGTCTGCAACACCCATGGCTTCTGCCTCCATCCCCTTCCCACTCCTGGGTGAGGGATAAGGCCTGGGCCTAGCCAGGTACAGTAGGGAGGGACACCCTCCAAGAGCGAGGAGAGGCTTTGGCACCCTCTATCTCTAGTCCTAATTTCATGGCCCCCATTCTTCCAGAAGACACTCTACCCACCTATGCCACTGACCTGTCTCCCAGGCCAGCCAACTCACTCCGGCACCCCTATTCTGCCTCCCTTATCTGTGCCCCCAGGTCTTACCTGAAGGCCCTGGAGCTGCCAAGAAGCTTTGTCCCCACAGGCACTGATGTCCCACTGAGGAGGGGTGAGGTGAGTATGAGCACCCTTTACCCCACCCCTGCTGGGCCTGGCAGGGGGCCACCCCCTTCCCAGGCACCCTCACACCCAGGAAGATCTAGTTACTAATGGCTTGGGTCCAAGAGCAAAGGATGTCCACACCCTAGGACACTAGGACCTTATTTCTTCCCCCGCACCCCCCGCCAGTGCCCTCCAGGCCAGGTTGGGCTGGAGCCAGAATTGGGGGCAGGACTCAGTAGACCCAGATCTCAGCTGGAGATGTGGCACTGGGGTCTGCCAGCCAGAATGGTAAAGGCAGAAGCAACTTGAGACAGGTTAAGGGAGGAGAGACAGAAACATGCCTGAAGACCATTCCATACTGTCACTGGGGTCCTCAAAGGGTCCTGAGAGTGGGGTGACAGTGAGTACAGTGGGACCTAGGGGGATGGGGGCAGACAGGCAGGTCATCTTGAGCTGAGCCAGGTAGACATTTGCCTAGACACACACTCAATTTTGCCTATGTCCTACTGGCTGCACGGATGGGGTGCCAGGCTGGGCTTCCCCTTCCTGCCGCCGTCTTCCTGGCTCCCGGCTCAAGCCCCTATGGAGGAGGGGTGGCATGGTACCTTCCACTACCCATGCAAAACGGGCAAGTTCCTGCCAGACCCAGAACTAATTACTGTCTGTTAGCTCATCCATCAGACAGGGTTCTGTGCCAGGTGCAGTGGTGCCCACCTGTAATCCCAGCAGCTCAGGAGGATGACGCAGGAGGATCATGAGTTCAAAGCCAGCCTCAGCAATCAGAGGCACTAAGCAACTCAGTGAGACCCTATCTCTAAATAAAATACCAAATAGGGCTGGTGGTGTGGCTCAGCGGTTGAGTGCCCCTGAGTTCAGTCCCTTGTCCCCCACCCCCCCAAAAAAAAGGTTTCTTGATGATGAGCTCAGGCCACGAGACGAGGATGGAACTGGAATGCCAAGGAGGAAAGAGGCGGGGGCTGGGACCCTGCACAGCCTCTGCCTGATTCTGAATTTTCCATAAGGCACTTGAGGTTTTAGTCCTGGCTCTCTCCCATGCCTGCCACAATTGCCATGATTGTCCCTGGCTGCCGCAGTCTGGCTGGGCACAATTCAGGAGCCACTTGTCAAAAGAAACAAACTTTATTTTTAGAACACACACACCGAACCACACAGCTCTTCAGGAATCCCCTCAGAGCCCAACTGCCACCACTGGCTTCCCACAAGCCTCTCAACCTCCCCCCCCCCCCCGCCTTGAGGACGATTGGCTGGGTCGTGTGGGCGGAGCCAAAAAAAGTCCCCCAATGAGCAGCTCCGTGGTCTGAAAGGGCAGGGAAACAGCCCAATGAGCATCACGGCAGAGGAGCCAATCAGTTGGCAGCTAGAAGTTTGCTGGGGCCGCTGTGAGCCAATCATCAGCTGGAAGCTGGAAGTTTGCGGGGGTCCCTTCAACTGTGGCTCTCAACACCTGGCTATACACTGACTCTCATTTCCCCACTTGCTGTGTCTTAAGAGCAAGAGTGTTCCAAGTGGAGGGAATGGCCTGATCAAGCCCCAGAGGTGAAGAGGTGACTTGGGTCATGGGGTGATGGGTATGCAGGAAAGAGGGGCTGGAGAGGGAGGCTCAGGTCCCAGCCCAGGCTCCCCCAGGTTTGGAAGGAGTCTTGGTTACAGCCTTGCCCACCTTGTCATCATCCAGACATCTGGGATATCACCCACATCTTCCAAGCAGGTTAACAGGACCAGAATAATCAGGTTGTCAGGAACAAGGTCAAGTAGATGGCCCCATGGAACTAGGCAGACTGCCTGCCCCCCACCCTGCTGCCCGTGGCCCAGCCTCAGTCCCAATACCGCTTGGCCTTCTTCTCTGGGAACCTGGCCCTAGGCCCAAGACCTGCCTTTTATCTCCAGAGGCGCTTCCTTTTCTTCTTCCTGTTTCTCTTTTTGGGCTCTTCTGCCAGGCTGACATCTGCCCTGCTGGCTCCTCCCCTTACTGAGTGGTGTGGTGGAGAAGGATAATTTCAAAAAAAAGAAAGAAGAAAACTCAGACCCTCATATAGATAAACAAATAAATGCATTAAAGATTGTATTTAAGTCATTATTGATGAGGGGACCTGGCAGACTTACCATGTCTTCAGAGGAGTCAAACACATTTATGAGAAGCAAAGGAAAGTTGAAATTAATTTACATATAAATGTAAAAATCGCCTACTTCCACTTCAATTTGACATCCACTGGGCAATTTATTTGCATGAGCCCAGACCTGGGTTATTTTGCGTCACTATCTGTCATCTACAATGCAGAGTTAGTCATAAAATAGCTCCAAGGCCACAAAAGGCTAAAGATGTGTCCTACCCCCCAAAAATGCATAGCTTTCCACTGGAAATATCCAATAATTTTCCCCCCTTATTCCAAATTCCTTACAGGGGTTAGACTTCCCAAGCCGGAGGGCAAAGGAAGAGGGACTTAAGCATTGAAGATGCCTGAGAAGGTTTCCTGGAGGACAGACGATGACAGAGTAGGAAGGGAGGACACTAGTAGAGACCACTAGATGTCCCCCAAATAATCTTCTTTCCATTTAAGATAATTACCTGGGGCTGGGGTGTAGCTTGATAGTTCAGTTGCTTATAAAGCAAGTGAGGCCCTTGACCTGCGCTCCATCCCCAGCAGGGCCAAACAAACAAAAAATAACCACTAGTGTCCCTCAGGTAATCTTTTTCCCATTTAAGATAATTGTGAAGACACTAGACTGAGGCGGCTCTGGTGCCCTGACTTCTTACATAAACAAGTTGAAACCCAACTCAACTCAGCATGAATGATCGTAGCCTAGGAAATGAAATTGATGTTTCGCCCATCGAAATCAACTATTTGATGTCCAGTGTCACCCTTCCCTAATGAAATCACCAACTAACCTCTAACTAGGGGCTTTCAGGCCCCTGCTCCACTTTAACCAAACATCTTGTCTGATTGTTACCTTGCTTCTAGCACCTTCTAAATCTCCTCTGTCCTCCTTTTGAAGGACTCCTAAACCCCCTGGGGTCCAGCACTGCCTGATTCAGGAATAGCTGTCTGCTCAGTAGACTCTGCCCTGCTAATGCACCAGGGTCATCTTTGTATTCCTGAATTTTTTTTTCAAGTACTGGGGTCAATCCAGAGCCTCAAACACGCTAGGTGAGCCTCCGACCACTGCGCCATGTCTCTAGCCTAGTATTCCTGACTTTTAACTGAGCACTTGGTGCTCTGGAAAAAAAGGTTGGATTTCCCAGCCTCCCTTGTAGGTGGATGTGACCATATAACTCAGTTCTGGCCAAGAGGACATAAGTGTCAAGAGGGGCTTAGGACAAGTGGCCCCTAAAGGAAGAAAAGCGGATACTATTTGTGAAGGACAAGAAAAAAAAAGGCAGGGGGTGGGGTGGGTAACACCCCCAGGGAGAAAGGAGGACAGTGTGAACCAGGGACTAGGGAC